AAGACACTCGCTGGTCTATCGCTACTTCCGCGGGAAGTACTCGGACAAACTCTATTTTTGAATCCCGCCAATTTAAACCTTCAGGACAAAGACACGCCATACCACTGGAATAGTAACAAACCACTGACATTCTCTCCAGATTCCATTGGCGAGAAATCAGTTCCACTCAAACAGCGAAGGACTGCTCTGTGGAACCGTCAGCCAAGAGGATGTTTCTCCGATCACTAGAATGTTAACTTGTTCAAGGCTAGGGTTAACCGCCATTTTCCACTGCTATATGCACAAATTGCTTTCTAACGTAATCCTCTATCTCGAGTGGCCTCCGGACCTTGTAAAGTGTGAAACTTATTCTAAAAAAATGTATTTAAAAGAACAAAATGTTTCTACCAAAATTATCATGCTTGAATTTACAGTTATTAACAAAGAATAAAGCTATTTTGACCATTAGGCCATAAGCATAGATCATCCAGTGTGGCACAAACTCATTTCACAGTAATATTGGTTTCATTCTGCCTCACAGCAAAAACAATTCTTATCTATGGAGATATATCTGTCTGTTATAACGATAGTTTCACCCCAAAACTCCACAAATATCTTTAACTCAACCAATTAGTATAAAGTTACGAAAGGTCACGTGGCTACATGTTCCCTTAAAAGCGCTTTTCTTAATTCGGCTTTGCTATTTCCTAAAGCCAGACTGTCACTTCTTTCCGACTAAAGAGAAACACCTCACCTTTCCTTAATCAGCTATATATGTATAGGCAGACAGTTCTCTTTGACAAACAGCTTTGCCATCAATTTGCGCTGTGTGGAATCGGCGTTCCGGCGATGCCCTATTCATTCCAATTAGTTGGTCATAGACTGCAATAGTTAGTGACACACCAAGTTGAAATCCTCGCTTCCTGTCAAACCAGCAGGGTGATCAATGGCGGGAAGCGAATAAACAGTAAGATGAAAACAGTCAAGTAAATCTTTTCGTTAAGAATTCAAGATAAGTGGCGGATTGAAAACATTGGATATGAAATTGGATAACTAACGGAGACACACATATACAGGAAGGAACACACACACGTGTATATATATATATATATATATATATATATATATCTATATATATATATATGTGTGTGTGTGTGTGTGTGTGTGTGTATACAGGGTGTGACGGGTAAATTGTCGCCATTTTATATTTTTAAATTCACTCATATGCCTTGTACAATCTTTGATTTTTTTCACTGTACAGTTTATTAGGGCCAGTTGGGCACCGTCTGTGAGAAAAAGAACTCTATGGCGCAAGTCAATCAGCCAGAAATTTGGGAAAGGCATGATGTACTGCTTGGCATTCGCACCGGAATCTCAAGTACAACTCAAGTATTTGGATGTCAATTTGAGGACAATGCAGAGGATTCGAAAAATGTTGGATGGATCTAATGGTGATTGCGAAGATACAATAGCTCGGAAGACTCACCCCCGAATTCGTTGGTGAGGGCCTCAGACTCAATGCGGAGGCCTACATAGTGCCTTGGGGAGGTAGTGCTGTCCTGCCGTCAAGAGAGTGGTTGCTGGAAAACCCTATATCTGGTAAGAGGACTCATGGCTGTCAGACAATTTCTGCGACCACATCACTCCTGACATCTGGTCACCTAATTCTCCAGACTGCAAGCCTCTTGGTTATTAAGTGTGGGGCGCAGTTGAGCGTCAAACCAACAAATCTCCTTGTAACAACAAAGATAAACTGAAGGCAAGGATTATGGCAGCATTCACCAAATTTAATAAGGAGACCATTTAGAAGAGTTGCGGGAGACTCCGAAGTCATCTGGAGACTGTAGTTTTATTGAAATATAATTATTTCAAGATAGCATTGTACAATTTTGGTAAATATATCAGTTAAAATGAGATGATTTTTGCGTAATTTTTCGCACCCTTCTCTCTCTCTCTCTCTCTCTCTCTCTATATATATATATATATATATATATATATATATATATATATATATTTCAACCAAAAAACGTTTGCGGTTTATCTTCTTTTTTAAAATATACACTTTTCTCTCGTTGGAACAACTGTAACCTCTTCCCTATATATATATATATATATATATATATATATATATATATATATATATATAGGAGTAAATATTCCCACATATTATCAAAATGATTTTTGGCGTGGTTGAGATTCAAATGTTTTTTTTGTCTTGCTTGAAGAAGGTCGCGAAACCAGAAACCCGTGTAGCAGAATTATGGAAAATAGATTATAATATATATTTTAAAATAAAACATGCACACATTTCAACCAAAACAGCTTAAAATATATAATATATATATATATATATATATATATATATTTTATATATATATATATATATATATATTTATATATATATATATATATATATATATATATATATATATATATATATATTTATATATATATATATATATATTTTATATATATATATATATATATATTATATATATATATATATATATATATATATATATATATATATATATATATAGGCTGCAATCTCTCTTTATGCAAGTTTCGTTAAAGACGACTGTCAAAGTATTGCGATTAAGAATCTTATTTAATTTTTCTTTTGTTCGTACAGATGTTTTACTGACTTAAACACACACGGAAACCCACTAAACTTTATACGCAACATACATAATGTCCTCACATCTACGTATGTCCGTAAATTCTTTTTTTTGTGTTATTGTCATATAACTGTATCTATGAACACTAATAGGTATGTCCCAATCCTCACAAATACGTTGGACTCTATTACAAGTGGAGGTAATATGCTGTTTACGTAGTCAACCATTAGCAGTGGTTTACCTACTTCACGCCGCTGGCGAGTATTGTATTTTGTTGATGTTATAAAGATTACCATTTCATTTCCAACCTCCGTTTTGGTTATTCCTCATTCAGTAACCTTTTCTAGGATACAACAGTTATTAAGTATAAAGTTTACGGTAAGTAGACGCTGTTAAATACAAAATCCAAGATACAATGCAAAATTATTTTACAATCTCTGGGTGCGTGTTCCTGACTCCAAAACAAGGCAAAATATCCATATAAACATACTCATCCATCTTTCATGCTAAATGTCAGACAGTGCATCGCGAACAATATGACTAAAATATGCTGGAGCCCCATCATGCATGAACTAAATGCATCTTCATATTAGCAGGCATACATCCTCTAGCAGGTCTGGAAGTGTGTTCAAAAGTCCCTGTAGACAGCTGTAAGACGTGCTGGGAGAATATATGAAACTAACAGGCAGTCACCTACAATTCCAGCCCACACATTAATCGTAAACTGATCTTGATGTCTAGCCTGCATTATACCATGGGGATTCTGATCCACACACAAATATTGGTTGTGTACATTTGTTATTCCATCTCTTCTTTCATCGGTAATCAAGACTGAAGGGACAAACAACAGATCGGCAGTTTGTACAATAAACCATCAGCAAAAGTTCTCTCGTGGTTAGTGATCAGAGGGCTAAAGACCTTGCACACGTTGCGAATGACATGGATAAGAGAGCTGGTCTTGAAGTACGCTTCATGCGGTACTATGACATGTAGGACATACAATGGCCACTTGACTTGCATCGTCTCTGACAGTCTGTAGAATGTGTTTTTCGTGGTCTTCCTCGATTCATAGTTTGCGGAACCACAGATCCTGTCTTAGCAACGCAACGATAAACAGAAGCAAAGGTTGGTTGACTCGGCTGTCTTCTGTCTGGAAACGCAATTTGATACAGTCGTGCAGCCTCACAATAATTACCATTCGCGCGGCCGTGTGTAAAAATCATATCTGCCTGCTCTCAATATCCTGCCATTGTTAAACGGAAGTCTTCTGAGTTAACTTACTACTTTACACTTAAATTTTGGAGACAGACTAACAACAAACGTACACAAATGACAAATGTAACCTAACCTATATGTCAATATTCATCTACTGTAAACTTTCTATAAATTTAATAACTCAAAAACGAAGGATTTGCGGACATATGTTTATATGGACTTTTCTCCTTGTTTTTTTTTTTGTGTGGGGGGAGTAACTCCCCACCAGTGGTTGTAAAAGTATCTTTGATAAAACGGTATATATAAACCCAGGAGGACGTAGATTCAAATCCTCTCCTTTTTCCTTTTCTTCTTCTTCTTTTCGTAGTAGGGTTGATTTCTTTTTTTCTTTCCTCTTCCTTTTCTTTTTATTGATTTATTATTTTCTTTCCATTTTTACTTTAAAAAATACACTTTGTTTTTACCTTTTATGGAAAATTTTCCAAAAATGTAAAAAGAAGTGATGTTTCATAAATTGTAATTTTAAATAAATTTTTTCATTACAATCACTACTGGATGAGACGTGTTAAACGTCGAAACAAAATATGAAATTTTGTAGTAGTTACTTGCATGTTCTAATGTAACATTTTATAAATTAATATTTATTGCTCTACTCTTGTATTGAGCCCTTTTTTAAATTAATGTTATGAAAATTTGAATTTTATTCTTTTTGTTCTTTTACATTTGGATTTATATTATATTCCTTATATATTGTTACGTTGTTAATAGAAGTGCTAAAACTAGATACCACCACTAGCACGCCTAACTACAACACAAAATTCATTGTCCTACTCTCTAACACTTTCTACCCGGGAAAGGATTGTAAGCTAAAACCACACTTGTAATGACTATCGGAATTGTAAGTAAAAATAACGCTACTAATCAGCCCCTTTGTTAAAAAGAAATAAGACAAGTGAACGATGACATAGTTTGGTACACCCTTATTTATGCAGTTCTACCTGACAAAGTCTACTTAGTTGCAAAAGCACATCTGCGTATCTGAGCACACATGAAGACACTGAAAGGCGTGTGTGTATCATTTGCTATAAATGCGCGCTAACAAATTAAATACTCTTTTCTTTTCATTCAGTTCTTCGCTTCTTAAGCATTTGTTTGCGATGTCGTTAAACCCTTTAGTGAGCATGCGCAATGAAAGAAACTGGGGCCGTGACATCAGGTTTCTTTTCTGTAAGTGATCAGCAGCACCCTGTTCCTTATAAGTGGACTTTCTTGCTCTCTCTATTTCACACTTTCTTTAAAACTTTCTCTCTCTTTCAAACTTTCTCTATCTCTTTCACGTACTCTCTCTCGCTCTTTTACACTTTCTCTCTATTTTGTTATGTTTACTTCAAGATGGCGGTTGTCTAATCTTTAATGGACACATTAACGGGCAGATAGTTTGTATTAAGTGTTCGGTGCAAAGTTTGCCATTGAAGCTTAATGGCGTTGAAGTCTCGATTTTATATTGGCCTAATGAAAATCCAGCGGGCAGCATTGTGTGGCAATCGTGTCCGGTATGAAAAGGCTTTGGCTTCAAATCTGTTTGGACAAAATGGATTTTCTTTTTGTCCGGATATTAACGGAGGAAAATAAATAAAAGAAGAACACGGTATACAAATGGTGAAAAGAAAATTAACTTTCTTTTTTTACCATTTTCTTTTTTGTTCTTTTCTTTCTTTCTTTCTTTTCTTTCTTTCTTTCTTTCTTTCTTTCTTTCTTTCTTTCTTTCTAAAACCTTTGCTTCATTTTTTTCACTTCTCCATACTTTTGCTTCTTTCGTTCTCTCTGATTTAAAATTCTTTCTTTCTTTCTTTCTTTCTTTCTTTCTTTCTTTCTTTCTTTCTTTCTTTCTTAATAAATTCTTTATTTCTATATCTCTCTATTTTTTTTTTATAATTCCAGGTAAGTGTCTTATTTCTTCTTTTTTTCCGTTTGTTCGCGCCGAATTTTTTATTCTTCCTATTTTGTGCGTTCTTTTCTTACGGTTTTTTCTCTTTTTCTTTATTTTTCAATTATTCCTTCACATCTTGGATTTCATTCATCACTTCTTTTATTATTACTCTCTTTTTATTTGGTACGTGATTTGATCTTCAGCTAGTCAATTCTCATTTTGATATCTAAGGGCATGAAAAACAAGTGTTTACACAAGCATTAAAACGGGAATTGGAGAGAGATAACACGGGTCTTAACAGTAAAGTTTGAAATCTGAGGTAGATAGACAAATACAAGTATGAAGAAAAGATAAAACGAAAAAGATAGCAAGATGAGTGAAGGTTTTGCTGACATATTTTCTCCTCATTTATTTCTTTGTATTGCGTAATCACATTTCTTTCGTTTTAAATTTATTATTTATTAAATTTATTTCTTTTTTTTTCTTGTAGCGTTTTTCTTTTTCACATCACAGTTGATTTCCTTTTTTCTTTCTCCATGATTTCGCTTCTTTCTTTCTTTCTTTCTTTCTTTCTTTCTTTCTTTCTTTCTTTCTTTCTTTTTTTTTCTTTCTTTCTAAATCCTTGTCTTCAGTTTGTTTTCATTCCTCCACGATTTCATTTTTTCTTCCTCCCTGATTTCAAATTTTTCTTTCTTTCTTTCTTTCTTTCTTTCTTTCTTTCTTTCTTTCTTTCTTTTTCTTTCTTCACACTTGATTTCCTTCTTTCATCATGATTTTGCCTCTTTCTTTCTTTCTTTCTTTCTTTCTTTCTTTCTTTCTTTCTTTCTTTCTAAATCCTTGTCTTCAGTTTGTTTTCATTCCTCCACGATTTCATTTTTTCTTTCTCCCTGATTTCAAATTTCTTTCGTTTTAAATTCATTATTTATTAAATTTATTTCTTTGTTTTTCTTGCAGCGTTTTTCTTTTTCACATCACAGTTGATTTCCTTTTTTCTTTCTCCATGATTTCGCTTCTTTCTTTCTTTCTTTCTTTCCTTCTAAATCCTTGTCTTCAGTTTGTTTTCATTCCTCCACGATTTCATTTTTCTTCCTCCCTGATTTCAAATTTTTCTTTCTTTCTTTCTTTCTCTCTCTCTTTCTTTCTTTCTTTCTTTCTTTCTTTCTTTCTTTCTTTCTTTCTTTCTTTCTAAATCCTTGTCTTCAGTTTGTTTTCATTCCTCCACGATTTCATTTTTTCTTCCTCCCTGATTTCAAATTTTTTTTTCTTTCTTTCTTTCTTTCTTTCTTTCTTTCTTTCTTCACACTTGATTTCCTTCTTTCATCATGATTTTCTTTCTTTCTTTCTTTCTTTCTTTCTTTCTTTCTTTCTTTCTTTCTTTCTTTCTTTCTTTACATGCGAGGAGGTGATATGTCTAATTTATGGGAAATTAGCCATGAAAAAAAAAATCCATAATATCTATTTTAAATTCTCATCTCGAGAATGCATTCGCACGGCCAGTCGTGGCAAATTTCGTACTAAGTTCAATTAACGCATCTCCCTTTTAGTATGCTTAGTCTGGAAGAGTTCCACAAGATTGTTGTAATGTTTCAACTTATTCCACGAACGAATGGGTTAGTTTCAATCTCCTCACAGATGAAGAAAATATTTGATGCAACAGAAATGTATTTCTGCAGAAGGATGCTGAGAATACCATCTACGGTGCATGTAAGCAACGTAGATATTTCTGAGACACATAACGAATAAAGAAAGGTTGGAGAATTTAACACTCACAAGGCATATTGAAGGCAAGAGGACAGGGTTAAACATCGCGAAACCTATCTAACAAACTTGTATAAATGAATGGCAGGACAGGGACTGGAAGCAATAGTAGAAAGATAAATGTAGCTAAGGGCTACTAAACGAAAAACAAATAAAAAAAATCGAAAAGAGGTGTGAGAAGAAAAAATAAGCGGGAATAAAAGTGCATGAAAAAAGAGGCCATGTCCGTGACTTGAAATCATTTAAGAACGAACAAACATCTGAAATGATTTGATCATTAAAAAAGAAAAAAAAAAAAGAAAAAAATCCAGGAATCACTAATTGAGAGATTCCATATTTATTTAATTGAAGACAGTGAGATTCTTCCGGTCACTTTCCTTTTCAAATCTCATTCGCCGGTAATGTCTGCTTGGTCTGTAAAATATTTGGCAGCTCCATATTTGCTTTCTGCAATTAGCTTATTTACATAGAAAGTGAAAGTGAAAGTAGGCGTTTGCATAACTGTGCGTTCAAAAGTGGTTTACAATAAAAAGAAAAATCTGTAGGCGGGAACAGACGCATACAATTTCAAGATAGAAATCAATGAAACGCATGTATTCACATCCCTATTTATCGATGATGTCGCCCTTTCTTTTGACATTAGTGTTATAAGAGTAGGTGTGTCCGTTATGATTCAAAGAGTTTTTAAAATTATTTATTCTTAACGTTTAAAATTTCTATTATCATCTTCTGTGATAGGACAACCGAAATCCGATGCTAAGGAAAGAATAAGAAATATCGCTAGAAACAAAGGAAAGCACACTGAACTGTTATGTAATATCACACCAAAAGAAAGGGAAATATCGTTAGAAACAAAGAAAAGATCATCGAACTGTTATGTAATATCACACCAAAAGCTAAGTAAAGTATTACAAAACAGGAAAATATAGTTAGAAACAAAGAAAAGAGTGTTGAAATGTTATCCAATATCTCCATAAAAGCTAAGCAATGTACTACGAAGCAGGGAAATATCGTTAGAAACAAAACAAAGATCCCCAAGCTGTTATGTAATCTCACACTAAAAGCTAAGTAAAGTATTAAGAAACAGGAAAATGTCGTTAGAAACAAATAAAAGAACACTGTAATATCACTCCAAAAGCTAAGCAACTTATTCCGAAACATAAAAATAACGTTAGAAACACAGAAAAGAGTACTGAACTGTTATGTCAAAACTCTAAAAGCAACCACTCGAATCCAAGGATGCCAGTCTACAAGGACGGCTAGCTAATCCCCATTGCAGATGCCTGCTCAGGCACACTTGTGCTTGTTCAACACCCACAGAGTCCACCTGCAACTATACTGAGCTGACCTTAGTTAGAATTTCTGTGAGAGAGCGCGTTATCTAGCGTAATCAACAGTCTGAACAAGGCTAGCTCACTCAATCCCTCGGTCACGATGACTTGGGACTTCGTCCTAGCACAATCTTCGACAACCCCCAAGGGTCCGTCTACCGAAATCTCTTACAATGCTTTGGTCGACCTGTGGTATGTTCTTTTCAGGCACTTTCCAAATGTGTCACACACAGGGATGTTATCAGTCTCTTCCGGACTGATAACATCAAAAAGATTCAAACCCCGTTCTTATGGCCAGAAAGCGAATGTTCTAACCACTCGGCCACCTGCCCAATAAACTGTTGTGTAATATCCCACCAACAGCTAAGCAAAGTATTAAGAGAAAAATGTCATTAGAAACAAAGAAAAGAACGCTAAACTCTTATGTAATACTAATCCTCCTATATTGCAGTGAACTTTGGACAATTGAAGAAGAGGGGGACAGAGATTTGGTTTTATAGAAGACTGCTGAGAATATCATGGACAGAACATGTGAGCCGGAAGGAAGTTTTAAGGAAGATGGAAATAAAAACTATAGAATTAGAATGAGAATGAGACATTTGAAAGGACACAAAATGATGAAACATGGCTTGGAGAATTTGACACTCAGGGATAGAGTAAATGAAAGAATGACACTGGGAAACAGAAAGTGACCTAACAAGCTTTTAATTAAGCTGAAATTACGAGTTACCCATTGGAGACACCAGAATCAAGCATGAACAGAAATTTGTCTATGCGGAAAGTAATCTAACGATCGACAGTTGCCTTCCAAAAAATGCATTCCGAAAAAAAAAAACATCCCGAAAGATGCCTTCCGAAAGAGGCCTTTCAAAAGATGCCTTCCTATAGATGCCATCTGAAATTTTCCTTCCGAAAGAGGCCTTACCAAAGAGATGCCTACCTAAAGTTGCCTTCTGAAAAATGCCTTCTAAAAAATGCTTTCCGAAAGATGTCTTCCGAAAGAGGCCTTCCAAAAGAGGCCTTACGAAAGAGGCCTTCGAAAAGATGCCTTTCTAAAGATGCTATGTGAAAAATGTCTTCTGAGAGAGGCCTTCTGAAAGAGGCCTTACGAAAGATGCCTTTCAAAAGATGCCTTCCTAAAGATGCCTTCTGAAGATTGCCTTCCGAAAGAGGCCTTCCGAAAGAGGCTTTCTAAAAAATGCTTTCCGAAAGATGCCTTACGAAAGAGGCCTTTCAAAAGATGCCTTCCTAAAGATGACTTCTGAAAAATTGCCTTCCGAAAGATGCCTTTGGAAAGAGTTCTTCGGAAAGAGGCCTTTCAAAAGATGCCTTCCTAAAGATGCCATCTGAAGATTGCCTTCCGAAAGATGCCTTCCAAAAAAAACCGTACAAAAGAGGCCTTTCAAAAGATGCCTTTCTAAAGATGCCTTCTGAAAAATGCCTTCTGAAAAATGCCTTCTGAGAGAGGCCTTCCGAAAGATGCCTTCAGAAAGAGGCTTTGCAAAAGATGCCTTCCTAAAGATGCCATCTGAAGATTGCTTTCCGAAAGATGCCTTTCGAAAGATGCCTTCCGAAAGAGGCCTTACCAAAGAGGCCTTTCAAAAGATGCCTACCTAAAGATGCCTTCTGAAAAATGCCTTCGGAAAAATGCCTTCCGAAAGATGCCTTCGGAAAGAGGCATTTCAAAATATGCCTTCCTAAAGATGTCTTCTGAAAAATGCTTTCCGAAAGAGGCCTTTCAAAAGATCCCCTCCTAAAGATGCCATTTGAAGATTGCCTTCCGAAAGATGCCTTCCAAAAGTGGCCTTACGAAAGAGGCCTTTCTAAAGATGCCTTTTGAAAAATGCCTTCCGAAAGATGCCGTACGAAAGAGGCCTTTCAAAAGATGCCTTCCAAAAAATGCCATCTGAAGATTACTTTCGGAAAGATGCCTTTCAAAAGAGGCCTTACGAAAGAGGCATTTCAAAAGATGCCTTTCTAAAGATGCCTTCTGAAAAATGCCTTCCGTGAGAGGCCTTCCGAAAAAGGCCTTACGAAAGAGGCCTTTCAAAAGATGCCTTCCTAATGATGCCATCTGAAGATTACCTTCTGAAAGATGCCTTCCGAAAGAGTCCTTACGAAAGAGGGCTTTCAAAAGATGCCTTCCTAAAAATGCTTTCCGAAAGATGCCTTCCGAAAGAGACCTTTCAAAAGATGCCTTTCTAAAAATGCCATCTGAAAAATGCCTTCCGAGAGAGGCCTTCCGAAAGATGCCTTCGGAAAGAGGCCTTTCAAAAGATGCCTTTCTAAAGATGCCTTCTGAAAAATGTCTTCCGAAAGAGGCCTTTCAAAAGATGCATTTCTAAATATGCTTTCTGAAAAATGCCTTTTGAAAGATGCTTTCAAATAGATGCCTTTCGAAAGATTCTTTCAGATAGATGCCTTTTGAAAGATGCCTTCTAAAAGAAGCCTTTCTGAAAGATGCCTTCGGAAAGATGTCATGCTAAAGATGCCTTTCAAATGATGCTTTCTGAAATATGCCTTCCAAAAGATGCCTTTCTTAAAGATGCCTTCCAAAAGGTGCCTTCGAAAAGCTAAAATTAAGAAACGGGTAATTATTAATTATTATTAGAAAGAAAAGTTGGACAATTTTCTTACAGAAGAAGAGGAGGTTTTGAGGCAACAAATATAGTTATACAGAAAAAAGTATTAGTTGATTTTTACGGCTTTTTTTACGCGTAAGAGAATGTAACGAACTTAACTGGAATTGGAACTCAGCACTTCGATTTCCAATTTCGAGCCGTTATCCATTACCCCACCCGCACATTCAAACTTACAACACCTGTTATTCCGAAACGGCCACCCATCTAGATACTGACCAAACTTGACATTGCTTAACTTCGGCAATTTTCCAAGAATCTGTGTTTCAACGACAAAGGCTCTAAAGGAGAATGCTCAGAATGCCATGAATTGATCAACAAGGACGTTTCAAGGAAAATAGAATACAATCGAAATTCCTCGGACCATAATGAAGAAAGAAGGCTTGGAGAATTTGACACACTCAAAACATATTGATGGTAAAAGAAACAAAGAAACATTGAGTAGCCTTCCTAACGAGTTTGTGTAAATCGGTGACAATACTGTGGCCGGGAAGGATATTAAAAAGGCGGGCAGTACTTAAAGCTACAAAGGATAGAAAGATGTGGAGGTGCATAATCACCCACAATGTGAAGTTTCTTCTGCTTTGTGTCGGTCCCTTGCTCGACACCATTTCCTGTTCTTTGTAACGGTTAATAACTTCTATTTTTTTTGCCATCTCTCACAAACCGGCTGGCATCCATATATTTTTTGCCATCTCTCACAAACCGGCTGGCATCCATATTTTTTTTGCCATCTCTCACAAACCGGCTGGTATCCATTTGCTCAAGCTCTCCAGTTAGGTTGCGCATTTCTTACGTCTGGCTCTCTTACCTTCATTCTGTCCTGTGAGTATCACAGTTTCCAAGCACTTTTTCCTCACTATTTACCCAAGAAATGTCAACTGTCTCTCCATTATGCCTTTGTCTGTAGAACTTCGTCGTTGCTTACATATTTTGTTCGTGGTATTCTCAGCATCCTTCTGTAGAACCTCATTTCGGTTGCTTCAAGTTTCTGTACGGAGATTGTCCAGCATTCGCTGCCATATAGGAGGACTGATATTACACAACAGTACAGTACTCGTTTCTTTGTTTCTAACGATATTTTTGTTCTGTTTCTTAATAATTTGCTCGGCTTTTGGAAGGCATCTTTTACTATCCCAATGGGCCATCGGTTTTCAGTGTCGCACTTTTTGTTTTCTCTTATTACGCTTCACAGAAGTCACTTGAATTTCTTTGACTATAATGCGTCACGTGATTTTCGGATCCCCCCCTCTTGGTCTTTTGCAGCGTTGAGATGAATTATTTCCATTAATGATTTCTTTTTCGATCAGTATTGCTTTTGAACGAGATTACAGCAACATCACGTTGAAACACCGGTACACGTACGATCACCGAAGTTAAGCAACAGCGAACCTGGTAAGTTCCTCGATGGGTGATCGCTCGGGAATAGCAGGCGCTGCAAGCTTAGATTTGCGGGTGGTATAATGGATACCGACTCTGAATTGTGAATCGGAGAGACGAGTTCCAATTCCTGTTTGGTTCGTTATATTCACTTACGCGCCTGGGAAAGGCATGAATCCAACTTTTTCTTCCTAGCTATGGGTCCTTTATTACCTAAAACAAGAAGAATTATTATAATCCAAAAATAAAATTATGGCTTTAAATAACCTGCAAAGGATTTATAAGCTGTAGAAAATGAATGAATCAATGAAATGCTGATTAGCTACAAAGACATATTTTAGACCAATTCCTATTCTCTGGAATTGTATAGAAACTAATGTGGCCACAAACTGAGGGATCATTTTATATATTGATTGCAATATAGAATTGATCCCCTACTTTATATTCCCATAATTTCCTGTTTATCAATTTCTGATTAGGTATGAATCCAATTCTTCTCCCTCCAGCTATGGGTTAATTATTGAGATTCTTACAATCTAAAAATATTTTCTAGCTTTAAATAACCTTCAAAGGGTTGATAAACCGTAAAAAAACAAATCATTCAATTAAATGCTGATTAGCTACAAAGGCACATCTTTTAGATTGATTCCTATTCCCTGGAATATAAATGTATAGAAACTACCCTGGCCACAAAATGAGGGCTCAGCTTATATATTGAGTGTAATATAGAATTAATCTCCCACTTTTTGTCCAAAATTACAATTTCTTGTTTGTTTATCAAATTCTGATTAGGTATGAATCCACCTCTTCTCCTCACAGCTATGGGTTAATTAGTAAGACGTGTATCAGTAAATAATTATCTCCTCACACCCTAAAATAAATTTTTATAATCTAAAAATATTTTCTAGGTTTAAATAGCCATAGTTGCTAAGCCGTAGAAATCGAATCAATCAAATACTGATTTTGACTTTTAGATTTATTTACATTCTCTGCAATATAAATATATAGAAACTACAGTGACTAAAAAATGAGGGATCACTTTGCATATTGATTATAATATAGAATTGATCCCCCATATTTTACCCACATTGTAATTTCTTATTTTTTATTAAATTTTGATTAGATATGAATCTAACTTTTGACCCCAACTAGAGTTTAATTAATAATATTCTTACAATCAAAAAAATATTTTCTAGCTTTAAACAACCTTCAAAGGGTTGATAAACCGTAAAAAACGAATCAGTCAATGAAATGCTGGTTAGCTACAAAGGCACATCTTTTAGACTGATTTTTATTTTTGGAAAAAAATGCCACAAATTTTTTGCCACAAAATGTAAAAAGTAAAAATAAGTAACGAATATCCTATACCTATAATATAAAGGTAAACAGTATCTTACAATAATCAATAATATATTGTGTATGTTTAGTAATATTACGTACATGAAATTAAATAAAAAGTCAAAAGTGCATTAGCTTATCTCACCTGTTCTCGTGGAACCCTTGGCAACCTTTGGCGAAACCTTAAGGTTCCGGTTGAGAAACACTGTTCTAAGCATTACATGAAGTTATTTACACTATCCATATTCGAATCTTTGTTGTTGTTGTTATCACAACTTTTCGATAGTTGTCACCTCTAGCTTTCTTCAGGTGTATATCGACCTGGTTAATCTACATAGATTTCTGAACCCTTTATTTCCTTTACGTGGGTAGACTGTCCTCATTCCGCTGCTAATGTCTAGGAATATCGTCTAGTTCTTATTTTTATTTAGTATTGTTGCAACTGAATGTAAGTATACATCATTGTTGTTATTATCACAGTGTTTCGGCCGTTGTACCCTCCGGCCTTCATCGGTCGATTATCGATCCAGGAGTAGACTGTTTTCGTCCCACTGCCCTTGTCTAGTGATATCGTCTTGTTCGTATATTTACTTAGTACTGTTCAGTTATTGCTCACCAGTTTGAAGTACACACCCAACTACACACCCAAGGATTGAACTTACATCTATTATGTCACCAAATACACAAGCCAACGATTTTATCGAGCAAGTCATTTTTCCGTAGGACAGTTTGTTTTTACTTATATCATTCCTTACAGAGCTAAAGTAAAGCTGGTTGTCAAAGGCACTTTAATTCCTAATAGCGAAATGAAAGGTGATGACGGTGCTGAAATTCTGTGGGCGACAATCAACCCTGTGCCTGATATTTACTTGAAGGTTGTGACGCAAGATCGGTTTTTAACGTGGGGACCGGCTGCTGATTTAAGCTGGTCATAGCTTGATCTAAGCTAGTGAGAGCCGGTTATACTACCTCTACGTAACAGATGTCATGCAACGGTGGGGAGAACGCAAGGGAGGAGAGGCCTCCGGAACGGAACAGATACTACGTCTTCAGCATCTACTCCGACGGGGAAAAACCCTTTTCTCCTCTGTCAACCCTGTTACAGTTTTTTTGTGTATATTTATACATAACTAGTGAGTGAGTCAAAATGACTTAATTCCCTTTATAGTCTACCAATAGAAGATTAACCAATCAGAAGCCGCAGAACACTGTATCCATCGTGTATAAAGGCGGCCATCTTTGTTTACCCTACCGGAATGACCAGAGCCAACATGACAGACGGAAGAACTACGCTCTGCTACTTTGCTGTGATATCCACTGCGAACCTAAAGTACGCTTTCCTACTGTCTCCGAAATATTCACTGCCAACCTCTGGATTCTATACTCGAGGACGACCGTCATGAAAATGTCTAACAAACCCCTCTAACAGACTCCTTAGCCCCCAATCAACATTGTGCCCAACCTCTGCTGGCGCAGAGTTGTTTTTACAGACCTGGGGATGCTGAAGAAATTGTTACCTAAAATTTTCACTTCTCTTGAGAAAACAGTTTCCTATGCGAACATTTTTCTTCTTGGTGACTTCAACTTCACAGGACTCCTTATGTTCGACACGAGAAATAAACTCTTTGATAAATTTTTAATAAACTCTTCATATCCGTTCTTATCTGTTCGTTTTATACGTAGATATTCCTTACTAGAATGCTCCCTCAGTGATTTCTACACCGGGGTCATAGAAAGTTTCAGGCCTTCATAACAGGACTTTCTCTCATATGAACCCAACTAAGAGCGGTCTTTTCTCGACTAGCATTCTGTCACAGCTTCCACATGATTGCAAGAATTGTCAACAATATTTGTGTTTATGCAAATTAGATCTTTTATTCGATTCTATGTAGGAATTCTAATCAGAATAACTTCGATAATGTCATGGATAACATGCTTACGCAGGTTGTTAAAAAAATAGTTAAAGGTAACAAAATTCTAGATTTGTCTCTGGTCGGTGGTGTATCGACTGTAATTGTTGTTGATGTCGAACGTCTATTTGGTTCAAATAAGCACAAAATAGTTCATTTGATTTTTAATTGTCCGATTCCCAAGATCAATCGTAAAGTTTATTTGTAAAGTAATGGGGACTATGATCGTTTCAACGAAGAATTAGACAATATAGTATGGCGTAATTTGCTATATAGTGATGATGAAGAAACTAATAGAAACAGATTTAAAAGAATATCTAGAATTTTGCCTGTCGAAGTCACAGAGATACACTAGATAAGAATCAATAGAAAGAGCAAAAATGACATGAAGACAATGTAAGATAAAAGCTTAATTAAGTGATTTCGAGGCTGTTCGAATTCTCTATGAAAACTGCCATCATAGAGTCAAGAAAGCTATCAAAGATGTTAAAGCTCACTATGAAAATAATCTTATTGATAGCCTTACTGATAACCGAAAAATAATTCTAAACAGGTCAGGTTCAACAATCGATTATTACACCCTTGTGCAAATTAATTGAAACAATCGCTTTAGTTTTCTTTCTTTCACCATACAATCAGTTTGAGACCTACTGGTGTGACAGGGTCTAATAGATTTTTTCCTCAGATTATGTCATTTGCAGTGGTGTGCAGTAATATGAATCTATTTTCGGGGTGTACGATGAAATTTGTTTGGCCTCGAAAAATATAGCGTTATCCGTGATTGCATCAGCTTTTCATCACACCCAGACACTATTGTTTCGATTGTCGATTAGTTGACCTACGACCATTGTCTGCGATGGACGTTAATCCAAGAAAGCATGCAAAAATTTTAACGCTGCACAAGCACAATGACAAGCCTTACCAGAGAGCAAATCAAAGTACTATCGACTGGGTTGAAAAACTCTCCTGATTTAAATCCAATCAAGAATCTGTGGTCAATCTGCAAGGAATGGATGGATCAGGTTTCATTGAAAAAGTACGATAAAAAATGAATAATAACGAAATTATTCGTTTTGTTTCAATTATTTGCAAAAAAAAGGTATATATATATATATATATATATATATATATATATATATATATATATATATATATATATGATCATGTTCAAAATCGACTACTATATGGAGAATGATTAAAAAATCACTACCGGAGAGCCGAGTTCGAATTACAGTCGAATCCATTACATTCGCTTACGTGATAATACACTTTGGAACGGTATGGATCCTCTTCTTCTCCCCACCCACCAGCTATGGGTAAATAGCAGGACAGACCGCCTTGGATGACAACTGGTCTACCACAGAAAGAAATGGCAACCTACTGCGATAAAAAAATCTGCCTCTTCAGTCATGTATCGAAAGATACATGATCGCCTAAGCGTATATCACGTATGGCACATAATTGACTTAACTGACTGAACAGTCGTGAAAAAGGCCGATCTGTTGAACTCCTTTAAATTCGTTTTAAGAAAGTAACCGCTTATAGATGAATCAAGATTACCTCACCTCGATTTAAATATAGAACAAACTCTCTGTAACATCAAAATTGACTCACCCACTGTTAGAATGAAACTTCTAAAAAGCTAACAGAGTATCCAGTTCACGTGATTGAAACAGGGCGAATATTTTGCAATGGTGTCCTAACTCTGATGTTCACCCAATCGATCCAAACAGAAACAACTACTTAAGATTGACGTGATATTAACGTATCTTCCTGGCACAAGAAGGTTTTTAGGACCTACAAAGACAACCACA